TGAGCTGTGATGCCACGGCACTCTGCCCAGGGGGATAGCTTGAGGCTCTGTCTCAAAAAACAAAAACAAACAAACAAATAAAAACAACAACAAAAAAACTAGGGCACAATGGACAATCTGGCTCTGTCCATGGTGCTGATCTCAGAGCACTTAGGAAAGTGACTGACAGCATAGACAAAGGAAGAAAAGAAAACCGGACACCCCTGCCCCCCTACACCACACACACACACACCGGCCACCTGAACTATTACATAGGCTCCTTTCACTCAAATTCCATACAGGATAGCAACAGTGAATAAATTTATTTTCTTTACCTTGTTCTTTTGTCTCTGTAGGTACGGCATCATCTTGTTCCTCAGCTTGTGAAATTTCTGAAAGAGGAGGAGGAAAGGATAAATGTCAATATATGTAAGTTTATCATTCAAATAAGAGATGTCAGACCCCCACACAAAACTTTAAGTTTTAATTTTTGAGACAGTCTCATCGTTTCCTAGAGTGCCATGGCCTCAGTGTTGCTCACAACAACCTCAAACTCCTGGGCTTGAGTGATCCTCCTGCCTCCTATGTAGCTGAGACTATAGACATCTGCCACCACCCTTGGACACTTTTTAGGCTTTTCTTTTTCTAGTAGAGACAGTGTCTTGCTATGTTGCTTAGGCTGGTCTTGAACTCCTGGCCTCAAATGATCCTCCCATTTCAGCCTGCCAAAGTGCCAGGATTATAGGTATAAGACACCATGCTCTTCCCTCATCTTAGTACTGCCAAATTTTGTCTGTATTTAATACCACTGTTAAGTCATCATTTAGTGACTTATAAAACCTAAAGGATACAATTATATCACTGAGGAGATAACATATAGCACTTGAATTGTTAAGCCTACATTTCTATCATACTGTGAGCAAGTTATTGCCTTCAAGATGTTGACAGATATTACTCAGACTTTAGCCTTAAAGGATGCTTTCCTGTCCACCCTGTATCAAAATGAAGGTGACTGAGACTGCTGTTAGATTTCATGGTTAACACTGGTTTCTGAGATATTAGCAAGATAATGACATGCAGGCACCAGTGGGGAATGTACATCATCCACACAGCCTGCATTTCTCCCTGTATTGTTTGCTTTGATTTTATTTTGTTGGTTTGTCTTTCTGTCTTCCAAGTGTAACCTTCTTGAGTATGGGGGATTCTCATGTACTTTGGCTATGGATGTATTATAAGCAAATAGAACTGTGCCTGGCATATAGTTGATGCTCAAATGTTTGGGGGAATGGCACTGAATCTGGTTTTGTGTTATCTGGCTCCTTCCAAACCCTGAAACAAGTTACTATGAGGGGCATGACCTAGTAGGTTCATAACATTACCCAAATTGAGGATGACAGGAACCTCATGAGTTGTAAGAAAACCTTAAGACCATGGAACTCTTGAACTTGGAATAAGATCTATATTACCAGACACTAACAAAACACACCCAGGTCAGTTAGTGATAGAGTGGTTTGACTAGAAAGAACCCTGAACTATCAGAAGTCAGCTCCTGGAGGTATTGCTACAACTATTTCATGTTTTACCACCACCCCCGTACTAACCTGATCCTCCTCCTTGACTTGGTCCTTGGTCAATCTTTGTTTGCTCAGCATCTTCTGGTATTTCAGCCAGTGAATGTTCTGCAGAGAAAGAGGGAGAATAATTTTAATGTCATAGCCATCACCCAAGCCCAGGGATGAGAGAATCCCTGCCTGGATTACTGAGGGCAAGCCTTGGGATATCAGTTTACTCCATGGCTTATCTGTAAGGGGAATGATGGAGTCACTTTCATTTGCCAGCAGCACACTGATGCAGAGATTGAAAAGAATGCTCTGGTTTTGAATTTGTCATTATAAATTTCAGTCCCCACTTTGTGATAATGATGTAGTATATTGTAGTTAAGTGTCTTCAGGACAAACTGCAGGCTTCACCCAGGTGAGTGATGTGCGGGTAAGTACCACCACCTATGGTGGCTGATGTGAGGCATGTAATACCTGTGGTGGGTGATGTACAAGTGTGCAATACCTGGATAGGCCAGGTATCCACAGGATTGGCTGCTTAATCATGGAACTTTCCAGCCTAAGTCATTGTTTTTCTTTTCTTTTTTTTTTTTTTTTTTTGAGACAGAGCCTCAAGTCCTCCCCCCGGGCAGAGTGCCGTGGCACCCCAGCTCACAGCAACCTCCAACTCCTG